CCCCAAAACCCCAAAACCCCAAAACCCCAAAACCCCAAAACCCCGTTTAAGAATGGGGGTGTTGAGGGTATAAATTATTATGGGGAATGTGAGTATGGATTGATGTGGTGAAAGGCAGTTTGGTAGAGGTATGGGTGAGAGATTGGTTGTAGGGAGGGGAGTTTTGGTGGAGCTCAGGGGTTAATTTTGTGTTGGTATAGAGGATTTATGAAAAACAAGAGAGAAAGTTATGCAAATGAGCACTAAGTCGAGGAGTATTTTAAACAAAAGCAAACCTTCTACATCACCTAAAGCTTCTGAATTTTCAGGATATAAAAAGGTAAAACAAAACAAGCCAAAAATAGTATCAAAAATCCAAATTAATTTTCCGAATTATTCATTTATTAACAAAATCCTATAGGTAGATCTTGTCAAATCAAAATGAAAATTTCCTAAGACAAAGAGGAATACTTTTACCACAACGATGAATAAAGAGAAAAGCATAACTCAAGTTCTTGCTAAAGAGTAAGTCTATCATCCTCTAGACTGCCAATTTCTCAATTTTCGTAACTTCGGATGCCCAAGACTATTTGTCATTTTACCAGTTACATTTTTGTAAAATATTTTCCAAATGCTAACTTAATCTGGCAAGACTAACGCTTAATATAGATATGAAGGAGCAAAGGCATCCATTCGTAGAAAAGAGAAGCGTCATATTAGCAAAAAGTCATACGAGCAATTCCTGAGAAGACGTAAGGCAGTTATATTCACACTGGGCGATAGAAAGGATGCTAGTTAGCCATTTAGAAGTTTATTTTGAAATTTTACTGTATAACCTATCATTTACCATCTGTTAACACCAGGCCCCTAACACATGTCTAAATTTCCTCTTTTCCTGCTTGAAATATGCTAACTTCTAAATAGGCGAGGATAGGCAACTGCAAACACTTTGTAAGAGGCTCAATGATCAAGGCAGCTTCATGCTCTATGCGTGCGACTAAATTGCTTACAAGGATAATGTTCTTCCCTGGATGAGAAGGGTAGAGGGCATGGAATTCAATTAAGGAGATAGGAAAGAGAGTAAATAATGGCTTTTAAATGCTGATAACAAAAGCATTAAAGAGCCAAAAGTTTGCTAGATAGATATAAATGCTCCTTTATTATTTATAATATACTCTTATATTCCAAATGTATCCTTTAGTTTTCAAAATTCATCCTATTTTCTCTTGTTTCTCATTAACCAAATGACAGTTACTAATCATATCTTATTTACAGTTTCAATTTGTGTTAAACCATTCGGGGTTTTGGGGTTTTGGGGTTTTGGGGTTTTGGGG